TACGTACGTACGTACGTACGTACGTACGTACGTACGTACGTACGTACGTACGTACGTACGTACGTACGTACGTACGTACGTACGTACTACGTACTACTACTACTACTACTACTACTCTACTCTCTCTCTCTCTCTCTCTCTCTCTCTCTCTCTCTCTCTCTCTCTCTCTCTCTCTCTCTCTCTCTCTCTCTCTCTCTCTCTCTCTCACACATATCAATTTGTTAGGCTTTTGGATGGTGTAAAGTGTGAAATTACATAAACCAGACTTTATCAATAAAAAATCAGATCCCTTGTATTGCTATCGGTAATTCCGAAGGGCCTCATCGTAATAATTCCCATTTTGTTTTCTAGGATGATTCTTATACACTTCAAAAGAAACATAAATATATTATTCATTAATTTAAATAAAAAATTATTTAATACTTATTTTTTTATTGCTAATTTATTATGTCCCCCTTTAATGGTATTTTGTGGGATTTTTTATTCTTTTAACTTTTGAGTAAAATTTTTGGAGCATATTTACTTCTACTTCCTCAGTAAGAAGACCTACATGAGAGGAGTTTTTCAATCTGAAATTTTGGGAACCACTTGAAAATTAGTAGATGATCATTGTCAAAAAACAATATTTTGAAATTTGAGTTTTCTAACACTTAGATCTCACTATCTAAATATTCCATGGTCTCTATTCAATCTTGAGGCATTATTATTTTCAAGTGCATAGAGGGTACAACTAGGAAACTCTTTTTTTTTTAGGTTAATCTATGGATTGAAGAGGTTACATCTCCCATACTTGAATAAAATTAATTCTAGGGGGGATTTTAGTCAAGAGAGTAAATTCACATTTCGCTCCCATGGGAGTAGAATATCTTTTGACAAAGTTTTATTTTTAATAAATTGTTATTGTTATTTAAAAAAATTTACAGAATGCACTCCCAACCAAGGGAGCTTCCTGCATGTGTTGCTCCGTTGGGTCCAGTCACACTTGAGCTTCCGCTCCAAGCAACTATGACATGAAGGAACTAGGTCAAGTTCATGCCGAGATCTGGACTGACCAACTCCAGACCTGGCCACATTTTATGAAGAAAATAAGGGGATCCACCTAGCAACCCTCAAGGTCAACCAACCTGAGTACAGGTCCAAACCCATTAAGTGAAACTATTGGGTTAGGTAAGGATCCAGGTCCACCCCAGTCCAAACTAGGTCAGATTCAAGCCAACCCAACCCCAACCCCTTTGCATCCCTAAGGTAATTATGGTTTAGGCATAAAACAGGAGGCCAAGAAGATAAAGAAAATGACATGGGATGATAGTGGGGTGTGACTTGTTAATGGTGGAAGGATGAAAACAGGTGTATGTGCCTTGTTCGAGAAGGAGAGAACAAAGTGAGTCTTGTAGGTTAAGGTGTAGAGAGATAGGGTGCGGATAGAAGATGGATGAAGAGCCCAGTTGGATATGGAATCAGCACCGCACCAAACCAGGGATAGGTCAAGATCTACATAGGGTGGAAACTATAAAGCAGTAAGGCTTTAATAAAATTAACACCATGAAGATAGGAAAAAGGGGAACAAAACTTAGGAATGCAACCTAGCATCAAAAGAGAGCTTTATTACAAATCTCAAACATCAATCCTATGCCCGTAGATCTAAATATGTATTTATATTGTTTTTAAACCCCTGATTCTGGTGGACTTGGCCCAAGCCATCTGATGTCTATCTCCATCACTCCCAATGAGAAAATTGAAACATAACTTCAGAAATATAGAACCAACTAACTCCTTCAAAGAAAATCCCTAAAAAACTAATCCCAAATTTATTCAACAAATAAGATAAAAGTCTCAACTAATGGAGTGCCCATATGGTGGACCCACCCATATCTCTACTGAGGTTATCTAGTGCCTCTCACCTCTCCCCCTCCCACTCCATCCCTCAAAGGGTTTCTCATGGATCCACAAACCTATTTCTTCTTCTTCCTGTACCAGCCCTCCTCGGATGGCTTAGGGTTTGGGAAACCCACACCATTAGTTCTCAAACTTCAAAAATGTTACAAAATTCTAATATTTTCATCGATAATCAATTGAATTTGTGACTCTCTTTCAAAAAATGAAAATAAAAAATATATATTACAAATTTGCAGATTCATGACTTGCAAGGGACTCTGTCTTTAAAATCTAGAACATGTGAAAACTAGTTTTGCATGCAAAAGGTGAACTTGGAAGGCATTGTACATTAAATAGGATTCAGCCAAAATAAACCCAATACATGCCAAATATTAGGTGCAAATGCAACGACTGCTGCATGTAACCTCGGCAGACGAAACTTTCGACAAAAATGAAGATATCATGAAACTGATGGAGTTAGCCCAATGTGCTGGTTCATCAGTTACCTTGTTTCCTTCTTGACCTCTCTCAACAAAAATGAAGATATCATGAAACTGATGGAGTTAGCCCAATGTGCTCGTTCATCAGTTACCTTGTTTCCTTCTTGACCTCTCTCAGTTATAAACTTACAATAGATATTATACATTTTATTGGTCTTACAAAGCAAGCATAAAATCAGTTCATGCTTAATTGATTTCGTTCTTCTAACCGTAGGACTGTGTATCTTATGCTATTGTTATTATCTGTGATTTCGTTCTTCTAAGGTCTTACATATAATTTTGTCATGTATTGATAATGATACTCCAGTTCATATTAGCAGAGAATAAGATCCATTTCTTCAAGTTCATAGAAACATTCCAATTTCTGTTATCCAGGTATCTTAAGTCTCCATTTCAACTTGGTTAAGCATGGAATTATTTATTGACATGTACTCTAGAAGTTTCAAGTTGTAGTGGTGTTTCACATTAAATCATAATAGCAACAAATGAATGACATGTTTCAGTGCTCCGCATAGATTTATAGAAACTTCTTTTAAGCAAGAATATGGAGACCCCAGGCATGTAGCAAACATTTTTCTGATTCAAGCAACTCATTTACAGTAGTAAATTGCATATTACAGAGCATATGTGGTCAAAAAGATTAAACAGTGAGATCTATGCATAAATACATGCCACGGCCCACGGAATAAGAAAACAAAAAAAGAAATGAAGTGCATCTTCTTATAGTGACCACAAACCAAAGAAAAACTTATCTCTTCAAAGCATTCAGTGGCACCATTTTAAGCACCTTTTAAGGTTCTTAAGCGAGCCTGTTGTCCCTCCAACCTTGCTTCCATTAGTTTAGCTTTCAAGGTATTTTCCCTTGTGCCCTGTACCCATCTCGAAGACCTTTCTGTAAACTGGAGATCTGGAGAAGTCTGGCGAGTCCTCCATTGCTGAACTGACCCTTCGCCAACTGAAATGTCCTTTCTGCCAACACCCAAACTCCCCATCCATGAAGAATGGCCACAAGAGTCCTCCGTGAGAACAGTTTCAGGTTGAGTTTTATTTCCTTCAGAAAAGAGCTTTTGGTTTCCGATGAGATTATCAATGCAATTGAATGTAATTGATCCTTGGGTGTTATCCCTTCTACCTTTCCTGTTGTTGCCACCTTCTTGTGCGTCACATATATCAGAAGTCTGGGAAATGTCAAAATTGGAATTCTGGTTTGCTTTATCACCCTCAACCACAGCTATTAAATCAGCATGAAGCCTGTCTTCATCACATGGCTGGGCACTGTCCACCTTGTCAAATTGTACTTGCAATCTGGATACATTGCGATATCTTATCTTTTCTCCAGATCCACTTTTTGGCTTTGCAGACTTCAATCTTCCCCTTTCTTCTAAGGGTTCAATATTTTGGAAACCTTGTAAGTTGGCTTGAACACCACTATCAGTAGCATTCTTGTTTAGCTCAAAGCAAAGGCGCAAATCACTATCCACAGAATCTTCCTCTGCTGCATCTTGAGGGGCACTCGTGGCCCCATTCAAGTGTATGGATTCAAGGGATCTACGGCGAGACTTGCCATTACTGTTCATGCTATTATAATGAGATTGCTTGACCTGAAGAAAGCTCTCAATTTCACACCTTAGTCTATCAGTTATCAAGTTCTTTTCCCCTGATCTGTGACGGGAATTTGCTAGCTTCATCTGCACCCTTTCATCCACCCATGCTTTAGCAATATGGACAACCAAACAGACCTCTGTCTCATCCCTATCTATCTCAGACCCATGTTTTGACCCCCTTACTTCCACTTCGTATTCTCCAATTCTTTTCGCTAACTCGTCACAGAGATCTTCTAACAAGACACGAGTTTTCCTTTCCCAGCCCAGTTCTTCGAACACTTTTGAAAATGCCGACTTTACTTCACCCAATTCTTTAGCTAGCTTTCGATGCAAGCTCTCAGACCTCCGCCTGAGCTTTCTCTCATCTTCGAGCTCGTCTCTCACAGATTGAACTGCAGCTCTTATTCTGTCTTGCTCCTTGGTCTTCCTCAGATGCTTATCCTCAGCAACCTGCTTCATCAGATCATCTATTTCATGCCGGTCAGCTTGCTGCTCTTGCATCAGCTCTTGAATACGAACCCTCGCATGGTCTAGCTCAAGCTTCAAAGCCTTCACCAATGATACATTGGAAACATGCTGTTCTTCGAGACTCCAAATCCTGTTCAATACCTTCAACAACTCTGTAGAAGTTTTGAGGCTATAACCTGCTTCACCAGGCCTTAGCTTCAAGTCTACAGAACTAGTAGGAGTGATCACCTGGTTATAAGTAGCCACCTGTACAATACAGCGGTCAGATGGACAAACTAACATAATTTAAGAATCCTACAAAGTGCATGGATCATAATATAACTAATAACCTCCCTCCCTCTCCATATTATCAATAAGAATGGAATTTAAACTCACTTGTATATATGCTCCTAAGGGTTTTACTCGTACATTCTTTGATGAGAATCAGTTTTCATCAAAATTGGACACGTTATAGACCTAGTGAAATCCTACCTAAGAAGCTGCATTCTGTCACCCTGTAGGGCATTTTATGAATGGTTTTCATGATTTCTAACAGATCTATACTATACAAGTCAGGTATGCAATTATGCATGGTTTTATTGGATTTCGTGTTTATTATTTTTCTTGCAAGTGGTGTGCTTCATGCAACATCAGCTATTCATGATGAGATGCTCCTTGCTAGTTGTACATCTCAACTGGGAGTTGGCGGCAAACTATCCGTGAATGTTCATCTCAATAGGTAGTCGGGATTTTTATTTATAACTTTTTTATTGTTTAATTTTCAAATTCATAAAAAATATTATACGTCTTTTAATAAAATAATCATATTCATACAATTATTTATGGGATCAATTATGTCATTCCTACGTGCAATGCATGTAATCCGACTAGTCATGAATAAAGCTGACCCCAAATAATTGGGATAAGGCTTGGATGATGATGATATGGATTTTGGATATTTTGGTGGAGGAGCCATATTATTTAGCTATTATAATTTCTAGGTACCATGGACCTAAATAATTTTAATATGGATATATTTGATATGCAAACAATGGTATCCACCCGAAGGCAATATGTACCTCCATTGAGCTGCAACTAGCAGGTGATAATGGCTGCAAAGCCCGGCCATTCCTCTCCAATGATTTATGGTGATGTATCAAAGACGCTGCAACTTGCCTCCTTAAACTACTGACACTTGCTGGCTGGGATCATATGTTAGGACACATCAGAATTGGAAGACCATCAGGAAAACCAAGAGAAGAAAACAAAAAGAAATTAAGATCAGTGAATATCATCACTACCACAACATGAATCATAATTTCCCAAAGTTACTCAATTTAAAGGATTTTCAGAAGAAGGCTAGTGCTTAAGGAGAGGATTAGATGCAAAAGAAGACAGATCAAAACAGATAACACAAATTTCTAGTTCTCATTGGGGAAGGGCAGTGCAGGGGGTGAAACATTAATTGGAGTCAGATATAAATGCCTACAGTTCAGTTTCATCTAGCACTCTAAACCGAGATGCATATAAGTGCTCATAGACGTTGTGAAGAACTGGGTCATCAAACATATCAACATTCTAAAGCTCACTTCATATTTTCTAGCTTATTTTCATACTTTTTAACTATTTTCGAGTTGGGCAACCCAACTCGTCTTGCCAATAGGGAGAGACCATGTTACCTGCCCAAGTCCATAAACACTGAAACATACGAGTTCATATGATGAGGAAATAAAAAACTAGGACATCCAGAACACTTTACTGGATAAACAAAATGACAAAAATATAAATATTTCGAAACTATCTAATGTTCAAGCCACCACATTGAAAGGAGAAGTTATATGCAAGCTACAGATATGCATGTACTCCAAATATTTCATGGAAAGTTAATCATTAGCAGGACTTTTATAGTGTGAAAGAGCAGGATCATCACTGGTTATCCAACACAAAAAAACAAAATCAACTCAGGCCAGAAATACAAGTCATGCTAGAAGCTAATTTGGTATTTAATTAAAGCTAGCTGGTGAACAGAAAATCGGATCATGATCCAAGCATATGTCATTGCCCCCCAACAAAATTAATGAAGAAAGAAACTTCAATCAAACTACTACTGAAATACCCAATTAGCTTAAATATCCACTAAAAAACAAATTAAAGGTAAGGCTAAATTTCTGAAGCAGGATCCATAAGGTCTTCCTTTTTGTACTCTATACCACTAGGTTAGAAAAGAGTAAAATACAACACAACAACTAAATTACAACACAATAAGAATTGATCATCTGTTTTCACTGCCCTCATGCTTCCTCAAAACAGAGGAAAAGCAACAATTTGCCCATTAACATTGCTTATCTCCATCAACAATAATCTTGATCACCATCTGCATTGTTGCGCTCAATTCTTGTAGTTCAAGTTAAGGGACCCGTGTTCCTATTTCTTGGTTTTCTTTAAACTCATGGATCTCATTCATACTACTGATCAAAATAACACATGGACCGATGAGATATGGCAACATCTAGCAAACTGATCCAGCATCAACTAGGTAGAAGCAGCTAAGAAAAAACAACAAATTGGGTAGGCTTAGTAGTAGGAGTAGTAGACCTCTTGATCTTCAAAAGTGCGGATATGACGAGGATCGGCGAGATGGTGGTGGTGGTGGTGATGGTCCTCTAGGGCCTTGCTGTTGTTGTCTTTCTCCTTGTCTTTGCTTTGGTAAGAGTAGGAATGAGGCCTCAACAAGCCACCTTTCTTCATTTTTGTCCTGTACTCCTCCTGAACCTGAAGCTCCCAAAGGATAGCACCAAGCTTTCTAGCTGACAAGTTGGGCGCCTCTATTGCTGCTTCTTTGTCATTGGACTTATAAGTAGCAGTAGTTGTGGTGGTGGGAGCACATGCACAAAGGGGAATCATTTTCCATGGGAGCACTGGAGTGCAGGGGCCCCCTCTTTCCCCTACCAAAATCCCTTTTTTCAACTTTATACAAAAACCAGGCTCCTGCTTTCCGGCCCCCAAATCCCCCTTTTTTTCCTCCCCCTCCTCTCTCCTCTTCTTCTTGTTGCCCATCAATTTTTCAAACTACCCAAGAAGCCCTCCTCTTCTTCCTTTCCACACCGACCACATTCCTTTTGCCTTTTTCCTCTCTCTCACACATCATATAAGTTTCTCGACTCTCCTCCATCTCTTTCACCTTGTATTATATATATATATATATATATATATATATAAATTTCTCTTAAGAGCAGGACCACGTAGACTGCTTCTATGGCTCCCGACTGTGTTCATGCCAGGGCACTGCCATTAACAGTGCTGAATAATTTCCACACTCGAAAATACTTACCGTAATTTGTTACATTTATGTCACCAGAGATTACTTGTCGGACACGGGTGGCAGTGATGGAGAACGAGTGGGACCCAACACATGGGTGGTGTCAAGCATCGTAGAGCCGACTCCATCTATCGCCATCAATCATTTTATCGGAGGGCACCAATGCTTATGATCCTAGATTTTCCGTGAGTGTACGTTCCTTTCTTAGTAGGGGAGCTCACGACCAATTTGATTACACAGTACCTCAAAATCTTTACTAGGAGCGGTGTTTTAGTAAGTTGGGCGGATTGTTCACCCCCGTATTCATGTTGGATTACTGGATGTGTGATCCAGATCAAGTTTGAATTAGTGATCCATAAAATTATAAAAATTAAAATACATTCATATGGGGTGGAGATTTACAAGTTACCTAAAAAATATTGGATAAGATTAAAAAAATAAATATAATTTCTTATATCACCTAAAACTAATTCAATCCCCAACCAATTCTCATGCAGATGCGCAATCTTGAAAATTACTGATTTAAAATATTAATTAAGACTTAAAAAAATGCACTTGTTTTTCTGGTCTCCTTAAAAGGTTATGTGTATAATGTGATCATTACCATCAAAGCCTTTTTCGAACTTATTAGGGTCAACCACATAAATCATCGTCTATCATTTTACTCTATTAAGAGTCATATCTATAGATGTTCGGGTATAATGAAAATCTATTACGTGCCAATAGATTACAAGGAAATATCACATTTACATTGTTTGTGTACACTTTAGAAATATCACATTTACATTGTTTATGTACACTTTAATAATAAGAAAATGGAAAGACATTATCGGATTAGGTGAGATTTTCCCAAAAATCTCTAAATCCATTACGCGAGGAGAGGGGTGAAAAATATATTACGAGATTGATAAGTAATCTTTGGAAATCTTTCGTCTGTATCTCTCAGCCCTATCTTCGTTTAAAAAAAGGAATCTAAATTGATAATGTCTACATCCCTCTCTACCTAATTTAGTTGTAGCCCCATCTAACTCTCATATAAAAACAAATATAAAAACAAAAAATTTTAATAATTGGTAAGTAAAAGAAAGGAAAAATCTAAATTGATTTGAACAATTGTAGAACTTGATGACAATTTTCTACTGCAATTATAATAAAAAAAAGTCTACATCCCTCTATCCCCAATTTGGATTGTAGCCCACTATCAGCTCTCATATAAAAACAAAAATAATAAAAGCTCACACAATCATGTAATCGATGATGAGAAATTACATAACACAATCATAATAAAAAAGTTCCCACAACATAATCCTCATAAGGTATTAGTAAAAGCTCAATTGAAATAAGATACCTCTTTAGTCTCCTCCAATGCTTCAAAATTATCATAATAAAATCATGTTATTCTAATCATATTATTCTAATGAATTATCATGTTGAAACCAAAGTCTAATCATGTTGACCAAACATAGCCATATTTTTCATATTTGGATGGTAATGCATTTATCATATCTCTTCCATAGCCAAACAGTAGCAATATATTTCTCAAGTTGCATCTAAATACTACCCAAACAGTGACAATACATTTGGGGGCCATTTGGATACTTCGAAATATATTATCTGTAAAATATATTAGTTTGGGTAGTATTTAGATGAAACTTGAGAAATACATTGTTACTGTTTGGCTATGTCAAGAATAAATATGGGAAATGCATTACCAACATATTTTTTTTTTCTTTTTTGGCTTTATACCAAAAATATGGTTGAGCGTATCATCCCTATTAGTATATAGCTTAAACTTTATCCCTATTAGTATATACCTTAAACTTTATAATGGCATCAGGCATAAGAATTAGCCACACCTTTTGTATGCATTTGCATCTTGACTTGGAATCACATGTTTTCAAGATGTTAACCATTTGGAATAACATACTTTTATTATGATAAGCCATCATATTTTTTATGTTTTTTTTTTCTTGTGCTAAAGCCTTCGATCATCTCTCTCCATAAAACTTATGTGGGCAAATTCAAAAGAAAAAAAAAGTTTGGAGAAATTTGGCTAGTAACCTAGAAGGCTTTATGACTAAATGAGATATATTGGAGGATAAATTATGTTGGGGCATTGGAGAAGATTGAAGAGGTAAATTAATTTTTAAAAGTTTTGAAAAAAAAAATAATAATTCAAGCACACTGATTTGATTATTCTCTATGAGTGAACTCAAGTATTTCGAATTTATCAGCAAATAATAGCAGCAAAAAAGACCAAAAAATAAACAAACTGATCTTAGTAGAGAACCTTAAAATAAATAAATCTTCTATATCTAGAATAAACAATAGCTAGAAATAAACAATAGCAACAACATGCAAACTGCTAGTTTAAGAAGATGGGGAAGATGGGGATGATGTATGATTTTGATATTTAAATATATATGCGATTCGGTTTGAAAAGGGAGCTATTGGTTAGAGAAGATGGGCTACCGCGTTTTAGATGAAGAGCTACGGCGTTTTAGCTGAAGAGTTACCACGTTTTAGCTACTAGTTGAAGAATTTTTTTTGTGGTTTATTAGGAGATGAATCACTCGATTTGTTTTGTAAAAAGATGTGCCCAAAAGATTTCCCCATTACCCGTCAAGCGTGTAATAGATTTTTTACCCTTCACGGCTAGTGATAGATTTTCCTAATTTTTGAGGAATATCGGGTAATCTTTTTCCATTTTCTTACCATAAACAATAGAAATATTTAATTTTTGAGGAAATATCGGGTAATCTTTTTCTATTTTCTTACCAGAAACAATGGAAATATTTTCGTGTAATCTATTTTTTTGTAATAGAATTCCAGGTTCCCAAACGCCCCTAATGTATTTAAGCAGTAATGTATTACTGTAATATATTTCACTGACAATATATTCCCAGGTATCTAAACAACGCCCTAATGAGACCATAAGTCATCATATATTTTCGCACTACTGCCAACTACATCTTTTTGGGGTTTCCTAGCCCTTTATGAACCTTCCAATTGATCTAACTCACAACTTGTAACAACTATTATCCCGGATTTGTGTTGCACATGGCTGGACAACCTAAGTCCACATTCTCTCATCTTATTACCTATTGGTGCGACACTTAAATTCTCTCAAATATTACTGTGATACTAGTAGAAATAATATAAGAAATAGTTGCTGAAAATGGACCTTATACCTATAGACCTATTTTATGGGTCTCAAAATAATATCAGACCACTGCCATTGGATCTGAACTGTCAGAAAACCCTCAGGTAGCAAATTTCGGCTCAATCGGACCCTCTGGGGCTATTATGAGCCTAACTTACCATAAAAAGTTGAATTTTAAACTATTGCGGTGCAGCGTCGGTCTATATGGAAATTGAGTTTTCACATTTCAGGATGATTTTCAAACGTTCATAACTTACTCATTTTGAGTCCAATGAAGCTCAAATTCGGACATGAGCTAGATCTCGATGATCCGTCGTTTTGACATATGACACCCGTCATAGTGTGACCCGAAACGTGAGAAGTTATAGAGAAAAGATGGGTTCGAAACATGAAAATTTATATTTTGAAAAGAAGAACATCCAATTCTTTGAGGGCCAAAGCTCAAGATATCGATGTCAGACCGTCACAAGTATGAGTCCATTGTGATCGTGCTTCATAAAGCTACAGTTTGATATAATTTTTATGTATGATCGAAGGCCAGATGACACAAATTTTAAGCTAGAAAATGACATACTTTTTTGGTTTCTGAAATCCCATTTTTGGTGACTTCCCTCAGAATTGGAATGTGCTCAAGCGAAAACCAAAATGGACGAAATTTGTCACAAAATTATTGTCATAGTATCCTCTTCAATTTGTGATCAAAATGAAGGCTTGGAATGTCATAGATCACGCCGGATTGGTGGTCGAAGAATCACAAGTTTATGAAACTTGGCCGGATTTTGGGTTCTTCCTTAAAAATCCGTTTCAAGACAATCAAAGGGTATCAAAACGTGCGCAATAATTCAAACATTAATTTTATGATGATTGATCACCTGAATTACCATCATAAGCATTTGAAAAAGCACTCGAGGCCTAGCAATGGTAAGAGGCCCCTCATCGAAGGATGATTTTGCCATTTGTTAAAAAGTGTTGAAAGGTACTTTGGTCATTTGGTCCAAATATGGAATTAATATTTTAATTTATAAAATGTATATTTTTTTGACAATTTTAATTGTTTTTTAACATTCCACCCTTGTTTTGTGGTTGCTCTATATATAAGGAATTCAAGTTATTTGTAATACCCTCTCTTAGACTCTTGGTCATTTGTAATCAAGCTCTTAGAAACTCTTGAAATTTCTTGCTTGTTCTTTTGCTTTCTTTCAAATTCAAGACTCAAGATGGAAAGAGATAGAAGCACTTCATAGAGAGAGAAAATACCCCTATAACCCCTCAGTCCTTAGAACCCCAAAATTCCAACCACCTTAGAATTCTCAACTCCTAATCTCATATTCCCTAGAACTCCTAGCTTCCATATACCTTAGGACCCCTACCTTCCAATCCTAATGTATATTCTGTATATTTTACCTTAGCTAGCCTATACCCTACCCTACACCATACACCATAATGCACCGCATATTATAGTATCTTATACCCTTTAACTAGCATATACCTTACCCAATTGAAACACCTTAGTCCCTATACACCATAGCTTAACCCAACCCCCCTAAGCTAGGTACCTAGACCTCTAAACCCTAACCTTGACCCAAAACTCAAACCTCTCTCTCTCATGTGCATGCAAAGGGACTGACGAATGTGCACCTAGATTCAAGCCCAGTCTAGGTCCCCCCTCTCTCTTATCTCTATTCTTTTCTCTCTTCTTTCTCTTCATCTTTCTCTATTTTCTCTCTCTCTTTCTTGCCTTGCTCGGACGCAAGACGGGTCCAAACCTCACTCTCTTTCTCTCTCTTCCTTCTCTTCATCTTTCTCTATTTTCTCTCTC